TATTGTATTGATATCATAACTACTTTTACAATATATACAATATTAAACGGTAATTATTTGTCTAAATTGACAAAAACTTCTATTTGAATAATAATAATAATTTAATTAATTTGCCAAAATACAGTTCACAAGTTGATACATATTAAGTAAGTACATGTATTCTATCTGCAGGCAGGTGTGCAAATATTGCAGTCAGTTATTTTTTTCATCTGTCATATATTCCTTAATACTATAATAACATTTTTTTTGTAACCATTTTGTGAACTTACTTTTAAACATTGTCCCAGTTTCTAATTTTATATTGTCAGTTAATTTATTATATATACATATTAACATGTTATAAGCATTAACTTTATAAATATATGCGTGGCAAGGAGGCTGATATAATAAGTATCTATATTGACATCTCGTGTGTCTATTGCTCATTTCTACGCGCTTCTCGAAATACTTGCTGTGATCCCTGACAAATAAACATGCTTCCTTTATGTACATGCTGGGCAATGGAAGTATTTCAAATTTTTTAAATAAGGGTTTGCAGCTTTCAAGGAACCAAGCACCATCTAACATTCTAATGCATTTTTTTTGCATCCTAAAAACCCTATCGATATCTACTGAGTTACCCCATAAGAGCAGTCCATAATTTAAGGCGGATGAAACATATCCGTGGTAAGCCATTTGCGCAGCCTCTGTCGATACTGTTTGTCTCAACCTTTTTAAGGCAAAAACGAATTTTTCTATTTTCGAACAGACAGAATCGATATGACATTTCCAGTTTAAATTCTTATCAACAATTGTACCAAGAAATTTAAAAGATTCAACTCTTTCAATAAGAACCTTATTATGACATAGTTTGACAGACAGAGGTTTACTTTGGTAAGAATGAAATTGCATGATCTTAGTTTTTTCCATGTTGATATTAAGTCGGTTTGCGACTAGCCAGGTATTAGTCTCAGACAATGCTTTATTAATTTGAATCTCAGCTATCTCTTTATTGTCACATTTTACAGCTAAAGTGATATCGTCAGCAAAAAGTACGCAGTCATTGCTTATCATTTTAGGAAAATCGTTAATTAATAATATAAAAAATGATGGACCAATAATGCTGCCCTGCGCACACCCCTTTCATTTAACAATATATCCGATCTGAAATTCTTCTTATAAATTTTGTTATTTGATTCCTTAACGACTTTCTGTATTTCAGTGCATTGTATTCTGCCCTTTAAATAACTATGAATCCAGTCATATGCTTTACCTCTAATGCCATATAATTCAATCTTTTTTAGTAGTATTGAGTGGTCAACAAAATCGAATGCTCGGGACATGTCAAGAAATACTGTCATTACTGGTATATTACGATTAAGATTTTCAGTAATACACTTAATTTAAAACCGGCAAGTGTAGTTGATCTCCCTTTACGAAACCTACACTGCTCCTCTGTTAAAATATCATGCTTATCCAAAAAATTATTCATTCTACAAAGAAAGGCTTTTTCAAATATTTTTGAGATAATAGGTATTTTAGTTATAGGTCTGTAGTTATTAAGCTCGGACTTGTCACCTTTTTTAAAAATAGGTCGAATTACGGACTGCTTTAGTTCGTCAGGAAAAAATCCACCAACAAAACTCAGGTTTATAATATGTGACAGGGGCAAAGAAATATATTTCGCCCATGCTTTTATGACCTTCGTATGAATGTCATCGTAGCCAGTCGCATTACTGTTGTTTAGGTGCATTATAATTCTATAGATTTCCTTTTCATTGGTTGGATTAAGGTAAATAGTATATGGATTACTTGAAAATTTATTAAAATTTAAATTAATGTCATACGTATTAGATGTCCGAATGTTCTTAGTATAAATAAAATTATTATTACATAAATTGGAAATGTCAGTGGGGTCAGTATATGTCTTATTATTGAAATTTAATTTATCTATGTCATCTTGTATAATGTTCCAAGTAGCTTTAAATTTATTTTTATTACGTAAAATATATCTATAATTTGTCAATTTGTGTGCTTTATTAATACATGTTTTAAAACATTTATTATATCTGTAATATATATCCTTATTTTCTTTTTTATTAATGCTAGTAGTTTTATATTTTAGGTAAAAATTACGTTTAGTTTTACTTGATTTTTTCAACCCTTTAGTTAGCCATTTTGTTTTAAACGGTCGATTATTCACTTTAACTGTTATTATTGGGAAACATAAATCATAGAGCAACCGAAATAATTCATAGAAAAGATTAAATGCTTCTCTTACATCGTTTGAATCGAAAACTTCTATAAACGATAAAGCCGCTATGTGTTTGCAAAACTTAATTATATTTTCTTGACTATAGTCTCTCTTATGTTCAAACCAAGTTGAAAAAGACTTTTTCGACACAGATGTATTAGTTCTTATTTTTATAATTTGTGCGGTCTCGTGATCTGAAAGTCCTAAATAAAGCAATTCTGATACGGACTGGTCTATATTACTGGCAATTTGATCAATGCAAGCATTTAATCTAGTCGGTAACTTAATATGAGATTTCAAATTATAATATGATGAATATTAGTAGGTAGTCAAAGTTTCACATTTGTGGAATCTTTCTACAAGATTCAATAGCCATATGAATATACAGCGCAACAGTGTAACAATCAAGGGCGTAATTTAAAATGTTGCGCCCAGATTTGCACCCCACGATTTGACAATCCACACTTTCAAAACCGAGGACTCTAAACTTTAAAACTATTCATTCGGGGTTATGATTGATAACCCCGAAATCAATCATAACCCCGAATGAATAGTTTTCCCAACATTTTAAATTACGCCCTTGATTGTTACACTGTGTTACTGCGCTTTGTTTTAAAACGAATGTTCCTGGTTTTTTCAACTTCAAATTCTAGTTTTTTAATTGTAGTAGGCTACCCAAGGTTATAGTAGCTGCTTACGATCAGAGGGGTTTTGTGATTATCAGCAAACCTTTTTAATCTAAATCATGAAATTATCTTTAGGCTCTGGTGGCCGTTTACCGGTCCTTGCGATTTAGCCGCTTTTTTGTATTAAAAAACGTTTATAGACAATTGTATTAGGTCCCTCCTCTCGAAGTCTGCGACCAAGATAATCGATAGCACACAAATCATTGCGCGCGCGCCCATCTCCACTGACCCAGAGTCTTTACATTGTAATTATAATCCCCCAAAGGCTAAAAACAAAATGTGTTTACACTTGTAACTGTTCCTGATAATTTATAAAGGTGATACAATACGAAGAGATTAAGATATGAAATGCCTTTATATCTAAACAAATAAATTTAATAAATCTAAAGAATTTATTTTCTAGCAAAAACCATACAATAAATATATAAATCTAAACATTTTTTACTTGAAAAAATCTACTCGGTCGTTTATATTTAACACATCAAAGAGATCGCGCCAACAAAATGGTATTTTTATATACGCCATAAATAAATAGATAGTAAAAAAAAACTTAAATAACCATCTCATAATAGATTGAAGTTTACTACTTAATCTCTTACATAACGTGTGAAATTATCAACTGGTTGTTGCTAAGGCATTGTGGGCATACGCCGGCATTGAACCCGCGACCTGCACGTCCACAGACCATAGCGATACGGCTCTATAACGACGATGACCGCGGCGGCTCTATGGGAGAGTAGTTAAAAACGCAAAATTTTTATTTACGACATGATTACTGCGGTAATAAAGTTTACTTACTATATTTTTAGAGTAAAAAAAACTTATGACGTGATAAAAATCTAACGTTACAGATAGTTAAATTGCCAGAATATCTGTGTCAGTTTGTCTCGGATGGTGTATCTGAACCAAAAAAGCATTTACAATTAACACAATAAACTTTTGACAATGCTTTTATTATACAGTTGCCCTGAAGTTAGAATTGGTTTAAATCATAGATTGGAATCATAAGGCTGTCGCTGTCATCTCTTTAGCATACGAACGATCATTCTCAGAACATGTTTAATATGACAACGTTTTTAGTGATAAGTTTTCTATGAAAGTTGATTTGGTTATTATTGAATAGATAGCAGAAAAGGCAGTAGCGCATTTCCAGTTAAAATTGCAACGCCAGTTTGGGAATGTAACCTTCACCTCACACACAGAAGACAACGGTGAAATAACACTACCCCTTGGTGGTCTAGGGCCAAGAGATCCCGGGGCGGTAGGCTGCGAGGGGCGGCTGCAAGAGCTTCGAAGGGCATCAAAAGCCCAAAAGCCTGCGCTGTGTGAGGCGGGAGCAGGGAGCGGGCATCCGCTCCGCGTGTTTGTTTCATGTTATTTCGTAGAGCAGCGCAGGAGGCGGGTCTCCCGCGCCGCGCTTTTTTACGAAATAGCATATAAATTGCACGCCGAGCGGACGCCTGCTCCGTGCTCCCGCTTAACGCAGCGCAGGCTCTTATAAAGGCATCGTTACTGATCTATATTTTGATGAAATCGTAATTGGCTAAGGGCGCCAGATTTCAAAAATACGCCCCCCGTTGGTGGTGTTGCTCATGTTGAAAAGTTCCACGGAAACGGGTACAAAATGAGTATTACTTATCTTTGCAAATGGACTCAATTTACATCTAGCATCAGATTAAATAAGGAATTTGCTGCATTGTGTATAAAAAAATCAACCTGGGTTGCAGCAGCATCACACTACAAAATAGTATTGTTATTTGCTGCAGTCTTAGGAGTATACTTTTCCACATCAAACATAAAGAAATTTAGGGACTCATTTTCTTTGTCGCACTATCATCAAAAATAATTCTTTACCTTTGCTTTTGCTTTAAGGAGGCGTAAAGAAGTAATTATGCAGGTCGGTATGGTGAGGATGACTGGTGTGGCAGGTAGAACTACTGTACCGGCTATCTTCGGTCACTTAATATCAGATGTGGTGGATTCATCTGTCGAACCTATTGAGAAAAAAAAACTGTTTTACCGTTTACAATACGTATCATCACCTGTTCTAGAGGAGGCGGTACCGGTGCCTCCCAGGCTTGTCACAAGTCCCCCCATATGACAGCCCGCTTGCCCCGGTCCACTGATGCGAGTAAACCGGACTGTGGGTGCCACGACACCGCTGCTACAGCCGATCTGCAAAGAAAACCAATGGTCTAATCATCATTTTCAGCGTATTGATACTCCTGCTATCTTACTGTCGGAATACCTACACATAAAGAGTACTTTAATGTAGTTTGTATAACTTGGAGTGCCAACCAATGAAAAACATTATCTTTATCAATCCTACTAATATTATAAATGTGAAAGTTTGTGTTTGTTACTCAATCACGCAATAAAGGCTGAACGGATTTGGATTAAATTTGACACACCAACAACTTGTAACTAGGAAAGAGACAAAGGATACTTTTTATCCCGGAAAGCTGTTAGGTTCCTGAGGAATCTTCAAAAATTTAAAGTTAACGTGGACGATGTTGCGAGCGGCCATTAGTATGTTATATTTAATAGTAATCAAGCAAGGCGCGGAAAAGCTAATAATGGTCTAAATACTCAAGGAAGATTTAATGATTATGAAGCTCGTAATGTCAATACGATGGTATTTCGATTTATGACCGAAGCGAGATAATGCCAAATTAATGAACATATCTAAAAATCAGTACTAGACAAATTGAGGGTAAGATGTTATAGCTCACGTGCCAGTGATAATTATACACTTCTGTCGTTCATGTTTCAAACTGGTACAAGATAATACCAGTTGACTGTCATAAGGTCGGAACTAGATGAAAGCGCGTCTGCGCGCGGACTTGTTTCAAAAGAAATGTCAACCTACGGACAAAACTTTTATCTTTTATGTTATTAAAATTAGAAAGACAAGCGTCAGTGAGATCTGGTTACACTATGTCTGTCATTGCTATACGAACCCTGACGTTATCTACAGTTGAATAATTAGTAGTACGAGACGCCACTTGATTTCGGGCTTATTGGTTCGATACTCTTAGTTACAATTTAAAGTAATTGTAGTATGTACCTACGATACTTCTCTAAGAGATTTGGTACAATAAATACTGATTACACAAAACAGGAGTAATCAAGGTAAACCTATTTATTTTGATTGGTGGGTGCTGAAAATTGAAGACAATATTGACCAAAAAGTCAAAGTTTAAAGCATAATTGAGCTGTAGATAATAGATTTATGAGCATTTATTAGATATTCGCAATGTTGAGAAAGGAGATTGTTCAAATTGGCCTAAATGCACAAAAAATATTGACATACACGATAATTCTTGGCGTAATTTATAATTTAATTTACAGTCATTAGATTTCAACGGACACCTTTGTATAATATATTTAGTTTAAAAAGGACTTTTAATTTTACCGGTTTGGAAAACAAACGAATCATTTTTAATGGTTATGGGTGTAGTAACATTCAGCCAAAGACTGATTGAAGTTGTTTATATACCATAAAACAAATCTATTTCGTAAAGATCGATAAAATAAATCATTTTTTTTATTACACTGTGGTATTAATATCCACAACTGTATTATCATTTTCACTGGATGCAAATGTGCTCAGACAATTATTATAGATGGTAGGCGACATCATAAAGTCTATTGCCATACATTTTTTGCCAAACACCTCCATAAACACATTCTAATCTGTATATGTGTTAGACTTTAAGGTATCTATCTATGTATGGGCCTACGTTCCCTGACTATAAATTAATAAAATTATAAGGTGTGATACACTAAAAATCTAAAATATGGTTATCTTAAAAACATAACAAAAATAATGAAGCTACTGAATATATGGCTATAGAACCTAAATCTCTTAGCTTTCTTTGGTTAACGAGAGTTTAAAAAATCTCTCTAATCTGTGGCTCATTCACAATCATCACACAGTTTCCCTCACAGAGTACTTTATTATAACCGGAAATGACACCTGATTATAAAAGTTACTCTTATGCATTAACTTTAAAAACAGGCAACTATCTGTTAATGTACATGCCTTATATACCTGAATCTAAGCCATAATTTCGGTACTTGGCTTGATTCCCCTAGTTTACTACATAACTTATTTGTTTTTTATTATTTTATAATATGTTCAGTGTATATGGTTTATAGAAGTTCTCAGGGGTGTCCGTCAATAATATTCGTTTCTACAGTAATTTATATATAATTTCTAATCTAGGAAACAATTTTTCATGATTATTGGTCTTTAGGCCAAACATGTATGGAAGCTGAGCAATCTCCTTTGCATAGTTTTCCTGATCTCAGACCAAATCACCTAAAAAGCGCGCCATCGATAATCTAACAAAAGAAAAACAAAAAAGAGCAAACCTAGACCTTGGAAAGTTAGGACTAGAATAATATAGGATTATATCAGACTCTTGGTGACTAAATAACATCCGACGCTTCTGAATGACAAGACAATACGGGCGACATAGGAAATAAGTATGTAAATAGGCGTAGCTCCTATATGACAATTAATAAACCTAACCGGATTGACTACAACAAGTTGTGAGCAGTTAAACACCAAAGTTAACTAAGCCCTCTCTTACGATGCTCATAAGACCGAGATCAGCAGTATTTTGTATTGTTTTTCTATTACAACTTCCATAAAAAGCAATAAATGAGTCTAATGTATAATCATAACGATTATTCTTACTTGAATCTCTAATAGAGAAGAAGAAGTACTTAATGATTTTACACATTCCAATGCTAACAACGTTAACTCTCGCATAAATATTTATAATGCTCTATAGTTAGTCAGACAGTTTGCACTGGTTTTATTCTGCGAATAAATAGGTCCACTGTGCAAAATAGGCTTTGAAATGTCGCCAACTTGTGGTCCGCTGCGTTTTGCTCTCGACACTATACCACTTCTTGATTTATCGAATTCGTACCTCACTTCCTTTGTAAATTCATTGAGAGATTAAAGCAGGACGTATTAGTTAGATATCTGTTTTTATAACAGATTCTACATTTTCCTAGAGATGAGGAAATCACGTCTAATGGTCTATTGCTTCGATGCTGTGGTGGTAATTTCAATGTAATATTCACCTCATTACTTTTTCTTTAATAAAAGATAAGTACGATAATGATACACGAGAGTAGAAATTAAAGCACATAAATAACCATGATAGATTCAAAAGCTCGTGTTCGTCAAACATTTGGTTGTTACGAAATTTTTGGCAGTAGGTTTTGATATCACATCCTACTATCTGCCATAACATACCATCAATGTATACCAAAATTCTAAATTATCCCAAGTAATTCTGTAGAAATCTTATGCAGTAGGTGGCCGAGTGGTTAGAACGCCGGGTTTAATGGTGTCGTCGACTCGAGAGGTCCCGGGTTCGAATCCCGGTGGGGGCAGATGTTTGTGTGATGAATACGAGCATTTGTACTCCAGTCATGGATGTTTAACATGTATTTCTATATAAATATACTTATACATACAGTATATGTATTCTATCCCTTACCCCTAGTATCCCATAACACAAGCCTTATAGTGCTTAGTTTGGGGCTAGGCTAATTGGTGTGAGTGTTGGAAATATAAATAGAATACATAAAAGTTATTCCTTTTATAAAGTTGGTGACAGTAAAACTTATGGTGCGAGAAAATTTACGTGGCATGCAGGACGGCAAGATAAACTATCGTTATAATATATCGCGAGCTACATATTAAAACGTCTCATAGAACATAAATGCGCAGTAAAAAATTCCTGCTGAGGAATTTCGACAAAATCTAAGTTCGCCAGGGTCATAAAGCAACACCAGACACTACTAAAGTTTATTATGAAACTGGATCGTTTTGTGTTCGAGGCGTGTGCACCGTTATGCTTCTCGGAACATAAGAGGAAACTATGAACGGTATCCCTCGTCGTGTGCCCGAACATTACGAATATTATGTCGCTTTAAATCTGTGTCACTGGCACTCGATGATACTCATCGCTTTTACTAATGCACTGCGTTAATAAACAGAAAAACCAAACCAAAATGAAAGTGTCCGATTGCGGAGACGGTCCATTGAAGATGAGCGACGAAAGTCGGTCAAGTATTGAAATAATCAGATGCAACTATCGTACGTGGAAGGATTACGAACGGTACCCGTCAAATGTGAAATGGAATCTGTCTGTATGCGGGTTTGATTGTCGGTAAACGCTCAATGCTCGCTTCGTATCCACTCGGACCAAATGTCATAAACAAGAATTAGCGTCTGGTTTGTTCGGCTCGTTTACACATACCGCTCCCGGTCGCGTATAACAAGCTCCCCGAGGAATATCCAATATGGCGACTAGGAAGCGCAGTAAACAATGCGCAAATCTGACACCGGTAGCTGGCGACGGCGATTGTTTTCTTCTCGAAGTAAAAGTAGACGCAATCTCCTTTTCTATTTATCAACTATCTTGTTTTGGACGTGCTCTATATCGAGTAACAATTACCGTTACTGTTCGATGGCTTATTAATTGGAATACGTACACAGTTAATTAAGATGTAGTTTTTACGATGAGGCCCATAGGGCATAAATTAAAGTGTTGTTGTGTGTAAGTTGTAATTATAGCGAAAAAACTGCTGCAAAAAAATTGCGAACCGGAATCCTGACATTTGTTAAATCGATTTTTCTTGTATGAAATATAATTTTGAGTTGTAGACGGTCCTTTGGGAGCGTTGGATTTTTGCCATTTTGGGCGTTAAGATCGAAGGATTACGGTGGTTTATTTACGGAATTATTGGTAAATGGATGCTCGTGAGCAGAGTTTATATTATTCGAGTCCCGGCTTGATTCATAACCGCATTATACACCTACCCACTGTGTCCGACTTCAAAGACAGGTTACCCAGTAAGTAAAGCAATTTAAAAAATCCTATCGACACTGGTCGTTTGCCTCTCCGATGCCTCTTACAAAGATTAAGCTGTAGGTTTTAGTAAAATTGAATTTTTTGTATGGTGAATCGTTTGTCGAAATCCTCTCAGTATGTCCCGAATATGGCCTTAAGTAATTTGACCAAAGCTTGCTTTTCAATTCAACCAATTGTCTAAATGTTTTTAAAATAATTTACATTTATTCGACATATGTGGCCGAGTGGTTTGTACGCCGGGTTTCATGGTGTTGCGGACTCGAGAGGTCCCGGGTTCGAATCCCGGTGGGGCATATGTTTGTGTTATGTGTGTATGTGTTGGTATACGAGCATTTGTACTCCAGCCATGGATGTTAAATATGTATTTCTATATAAAAGTACTTATATATGTACAGTATATGTATTCTATCCGTTACCCTAGTATCCCATAACACAGTGCTTACTTTGGGGCTAGGCTAATTGGTGTGAGTGTTGGAAATATTTGTTTACTTATGTTACATGGTAGATAATAACGAAAAAGTTTTCTATAACTATTTCTCGTAAGAAAACAACTCTGTAACTTTCAAAAGGTCAAAGATCCAGGCCTCGAAAGCTGATAGGATAAGTAACGACTTTTTACAAGCCAAATTTCCTTAATAATAATTTCAAAATTAACAGGTGACATCAAGAAACAGAATTATTGAAGTTAACCAAAATCTGTTTTTATTTTTTCATATTAAAAACATCGGTTACCGCTGCTCTCAGAAGCCTCCAGGCCATTGATTTCCAGAGGTCAGTCGCCGATATAAATAAAATATAGGCGTCTAATTGTCAATTTTTCAAATTGAGTCTTTCATATCGGCGTTGCTATAAGTATCAAGGTATCAAATTGCTGTTATAACATTCCAATCAAACCAATGCGCAGGAACATATTCAGGAAAAACAATCTATAACTGTAACCAAATATTTTGTACCATACATACAGTAGAGTTATAGTTACAATTTCAAATGACGAATTGCGGTCAAATGTAAAGCATTAGAATAATTTGACATAATTAAGATGGTTATTCTTTTGTACATTCACCATTGCTGTACACTTTAAAAGCATACTCCATTTGAGTATTATTACAATGAGAAAATTAAAGGGTACTTAGATGCATACACAAAAAAGCACCTTCGTGTGTGGGCCCATTTACGGCAAGTAGGCAACCGTAACTGTGACTAGAGCACCTATCATACATTTCTAAATCACGAACATCTTAGAATTATTTCGTAAACGACTGAATGAATTGTAATTGAGTGCGGAAATTACTAGTTCGTATGTCACGCAACTACGTAGTTACACCGTTAGCGGTCGGATATGTGATTACTGCAGTGCTTTACATAAAGCTGAACATCCGTCCAATTTAATATGAGAAGGCGAGCCTAGTAGGTTTAGCAATAGTTCCCGTTGATAATTGTCATACAATTAGACGATGAACTAGATCTTTAAATAGGTTCGTAATGAAATCAGTAACTATATAGTTAAGTTATGGTACTGACTGGAACGCCTATTTCATCATCATCATCAGCCTATTAATGTCCCCACTGCTGGGCCACAGGCCTTCCCTATGGATGGAATAGGGAGATTAGGTCGTGACCCACCACGCGGGCCCAGTGAGGATTGGCGGGTGCTAACGACTGCAGATGCAGCCGAGGCCAAAGGCTTAACGTGCCTTCCGAAGCACGAAAGAACTCGAGATAGAAGATTTTTGGTCACCCATCCAATGACCGACCACTGCGAAAGTTCCTTTACTTCAACGATCGCAGCCGAACGCGCTAACCACCTGCGCCATCGAGATCGGCAATTGTTAGAAAACCTTTATTTAGTAAGTTTTATTGTAGTACTGTGAGTGAACTTATTAAACGTTAACAGCAAATACTTCAATGTTTTTTTTCAGACAAGCTTTATGTTGTATACCGAATTTGCTTTTCGAATTTCTTCAACGAATTCTCATAAATAATTGACACAACACTAAAGTATTGCATGTATCATACACAATCAACAGTGTTAAATTTGTAAATAAGAAAAGTGATTCATATTAGTGGCTATATGAATTTGGCACAAGACTTTCTAAAATCATAAGAGAAGATCAGGCTTTTAACCTAGAAGTGGCGCTTGCAGAATTAATATGATAATAAATAGTTTACTTTAAGAGGGGTTATCTTCCAAGGAGGTCACATAAAGCTTTTAGAACTCAACAGTTAATGAACATTTCTAGCCTTACAGAGCGTTAATAGATCCTTTTAAAACTTGTTGTGAGTGTTGATGAAACATAAATAATATGGGAACAAGTTACATTTATATTATTACGAGTGACTAATTTGGTTGTAGAACATTTTTTTAAGCAGATAACTTTATTTGAGTGTCTTATTTAATGTCTATGAAGATTAACATTGCGATTTAGATAGCGGGTAACATAGTTAACATTGATACACTTGACATGATAATATATTATCTATTTAAGGTAATTCTGAATTTGGATGGTTTATGACAATTTACTAGTCATTTTAATTTTACTTAGAATCCCTGTGATAAATTCACGCTTAATAAGGATTATAAGGATTTTAATTCTAGATTTAAAGTTAACGGTAGCTATTACTTTGATATAATAAATCTAATAAGAATTTCTAACGCCAATATGCGGTGGCGGTGCGCGTAAAACTTGTTCCGTTGTCGTCGCATGCTGCGCTTGAAGTCGCGCCGTTGGACACACGCGGAAACATCTCTGATACCATTTCCAACATCTAGCGCAGTCATAAGTTAACATGAATTCAGATAGGTATATAATATCATCTGCGAAACACGTTTCGAAGATGAAATTGGATTAATATCCACCGATAAGTAAAGGATGATGGATAATTATTGGGTTGTGATTTCACTAGTCACTAGTCGCGAATAAGTTTAGATTGAAATAGAATGAAACGCCTTAACGTAAAGTAACAATGAGTGCGTGAAAAAAATGCCGCTTCAAAGTCGCCTCTGCATTAACGCAGTGGTTACGTACTTGGTGGTTTTAGAAATGAGATTTTTTGTATTACTTGTGCTTCGGTCAGTAGTTATAATTTTCTCGGCTTATTTACTTGTGAAGCGTTCTCATGGCTTTATGGCACAGCCGGCCGGCGGCCGACATCGGCCGTAGCCGTCGCCGTGCTCTATTGTACACACGCGGAAACATCGGCGTAGCGTACTCGTTATGTCCACCATACTCGACACAAACCGTCGCGATCACATTAGATTATAGTAATTGGGCACAAATGTTTGGGATAAACGCGCGGAGCCATGTGAAACCTAATCTATTCACGATTGAATTATTTGAATATTTTCATAAACCTTGTTAAAGGTAATATTAAAATGTCATAGAAACCTTGGTAAACATATTTTTTATGCAAAAAATAAAAATAAGTGTGAATAAAATGAAAATTTTGTGTATTGTGTTTTCTTTCTGTGACCTTTTTTTTTAAGAATGCGAAAGCTTATGAACTTCCTCACAAATATATCAACCAGATCATTTTCATTAGCTTCTCGGTGAATGGTTTTTCCTGGTATTTTTTTTGATTGTGGCATTGTTATTGGCATTGATAGTAGGTAATGAGTATTTTGAATGCCGGCAATCATACATCTAGAAAGTACGTTCCGATACATAGGACACAAAGTGCAATGAATGTTATAATATGCGCTCGCGGTTAAACGCGTTTATGAGATGCGAGACAATGGTTTAAGCAAAAGGAATACAATCTCTATTGCTCATCTGACTTTACTTCGATATTGTATTACTACTCAAATTGATTTCGACCGAATGAGATAAGGGTTTTATGCGGTAACGGTACACATTCGGTGGAGAATTGGAGGAACCCGTAATAATGTTTGTTACAATATTGAATTCGAGTGTTACTTTAAAGTAATAGAGCAGCGAGCAACTGCAAGATGGAGCGAAATGCAAATGTTGTAGGGGAAATATTGTGGTTTAGTCATGAGCAACGTGCCTTTTGTCCTTGGGCAGGGTATTATTTTGTGTGTGCTCTGTTCTGCGAATGAGCTCGATCGCATCACGACACACTAGAAATGCTAGCGTGCTCGTGCCTGGAGCTCTATTTTTGAATCACTCGCCTGACATAGTATCGTCGAATGCGACATAAATCACCTTCGACTTTCTAGTCGCATGATATTCCGTATTTTTGAATCGTTCGTTACCGGTGTTACCAGTTTAATACGAAATATAAAATTTTATTCATTACACGCGAAAAAATAATAACCGGTAATTACTGCAATGAAAGGGGAACGAAAAAATCTCAGTACATGGCTGTATAATACAATTATATTTTGACGTTTTTTATAACGGCACTTCACTTAGCTATTCCTGATTGTTGTTTGTAAACTAGACATGCATTAGCCGTCATGCCATAATAAAAGAAGAAGAAACTTGACATCAGTCTGATCTTGTTGTTTCATATAAAGCATGACAAGGATACTTGATCAATGGTCGGAGTTAAGAATGCAAGGGTAGTCTCAAGAAAAGGTCATAATTTCAAAAAATAGTAAACAAAGAAATACAACGTAAAACTGCAAAAGTGAATCAAGTTTGACACGTGACACCTGACACAAATTTGACAATTATTCTATCATTCGCCTCCACCATTCGCCATGCAACGATTGGTGTCACCCATTCGTTGCACTCGAGTTCAAAAATACGGAATTAATTATGTCGAATGAAAATTAAGCAGTAATCGAGCGTTCGACGCAAGGCGACTGATTCAAAAACAGAGCTCCTGGCCTAGGATGTCACGTAACACGAGTGGAGGCGCGGACCGCACAAGCATTGCCCAAACAATGGTTTCACCGCGAAACGAAAACCGTTGATATTTTATGAATGCAATTGCAGGCTGACAAAGGTCATACATTATTTATTGTAGATAATGCACGAGCTAAGTATTCTTTTCTTGCAGTTAATTTCTCAGTGCAGTGCGACGTTCGCTTGGAAACGGACGTGAACCACTGTGCTGTGAGAATTTATTATTCGCGTCTCACACGGCAACAGCCGTCGTACGCTTCGGTAGCTATAAGTTCCCAACAACTCATAGCTAACGAGTTGTTGGCGTTCATTCAAAACGCCATAGATACAATGGACGCGATTAGCATCCTGCACTACATACTACACATTAAAATTACATGGGACAGGGGTGAGTATTCGAAAAGTAGCTAATGAAATTACAATTCGCGTACCCCACTTTAAGAAGATACGTTGCACGAAACTTGCAAGTCCGAATTTGTAATCTCATAGATGAAAGGTTAACACCAAATTACGAGAACCGATCTATATTCACACAGACACAAGAAATGGAATTGAAAAATTACATATTGGATTGTGCTGCAAAGTTCTACGGCTTAACTGTTAAAGAATGTCGAAAAGTTGCTTACGAGATGGCCAAGATCAATAGAATAGCAGTTCCAGATAGTTGGAAAAGGACCAACTGGCAGAGAAGGAATAGTTAAAAAGGAACACTAGTTACGATATGTGCTATAGTCTGTGCCTCGGGTCAAAACTTACCTCCCGCTATGGTATTCCCCCGCAAAAAACCTGAAAGATATTATGCTGAATGGTACCCCGCTTGGCACACCAGGACTCACTCATAAGTCGGGCTGGATGACTTCAGAATTATTTGTGGAAGTAATGCAACATTTCATCAATGTGAATGCAACGCCCGAAAATCCAGCTCTGCTGATTCTTTATAACCATGAGCCACATTTGTCAATTGAAGCTTTAAACCTAACCAAAGCGTCTGGAGTAACCGTCCTCACGTTGCATCCACACACTACATCAAAATTGCAACCTCTTGACGTAGGGCTTAATGGACCCTTTAAAGTTTATACAATAATGCAGTTGATTTACGGATGCTAAGACATCCCGGCTCCTCAATGACGATTTACAGCGTGGCTGAATGTGTAGATGAAGCGTATGCTAGAGCTATGGCACCAATTAACATCACTGCGCCTTTTAGGAAGTGTGGTATTTTTCCTTACAATCCTGATATTTTCACGGACTTAGACTTTTTGCCGTCAGATGTTACAAACAGACCGCAGCCACATGAATCCGATGGACAGCAAAAAAATGCAGAAACACCAGCTAATGATTCCGATACTACCGACTGTGAAGATATCGAAACATTACCTAGTCCAACTAATATGGATTCTGTTCCTAATTTTGATATAACTCAATTTTCCGACGGACTTATAAATGCTCCGCTAGAAAAACGCCCTAAACAGAATATTTCAGCACCAGCAGTTTCGAAACTTGGGGTAGAACATTCATTCACAATCTTCGCCAATACAAATTAAATCTGAAGTGAAATATTTTATTTCCCCAAAGCAATTCATGCCACTACTGAAAGCTGGATCTAGAAAGACTATGAAGAATAATAGGAAGAGGGGTAAAAGCAGAATTGCTACAGATACCCTCGATAAAAATGAAATTACGGAAGAGAGACAGAAAGCAAAAGATAAAAAAAAATCCAAACAGTAAAACGTGCTGTTTTGAAAGATGTTTCGAATAAGAAAAAAGTTAAGAAACTCATTTAGTCTGACACTAGTTCGGAGGAGGATATAGAAGAGCCCCCAGGATTGAGTGACACAGAAGCAAGTGACGTTCACGACTCGGAAGATGAAGACATGTTCATAGTTTAAAGTGGAAATTTTCAAAAATTGGCAAGAACACCTGTCGTTGGTTACTTTATCTTTGTCGCGTTTAATACGAATAAAACCAAAGTTTATTACGTCGCTGAAATAATTGAAGTCTGTGGCTATAACAGTTACGAAGGATTGTTTATGCGATTAAAAAATAAAGAATTAATGAAGTTTAAAATGCCATTGAAGCCAGATTTAGCAGAAGTTAAACTTAATGATATCAAGATAATATTACCATCTCCAAAAATTAATGGGCCAAAAAATCGCAATACAACATACATTTTTCCTATTCGTGTTGCACCAACTATAAGTTTACGTTAAGAAAAATGGCAGTTATTTTATGTTTTGTTAAAATATTTTTAATTATTAAGATTAAAGACACTTTAGTTATTGTCAGTATTTACTTCCGTTTATTATTATTAGTTCGTATTTTTATTTCCAAAGCTGCGCATTGTTACCTTGCTTGAAACATTGTTGTGATTTTTGATACGAGTAGTTACTCAAATTAATATTAAGACTATTTCAAGCTTTGATGCTTTAGTTAAATCGTCAAGACTGAATAAAGTTACATAGATTCATATTATATTATTAACGTGAATTCATAAATATGAGCAATAAGTAAACTATTCATTGAAATTATTAACGTGACTGATTAGCGTACTGAGAAACATATTTTAGTGCAGTCATTGAAGCATTATTGCTCCGATTAGTCCGATTAATTAGGTTCATCTTACCCTTAACTTCAAAAGTGAAAATGATTTGAACTCCACAACCACCCGGGGGTGAATGTTTTTTTTTTCAAAATAACCTCGGATATCGATAGAAGGCCTAATTTTAAGCAAAAAATCATCTATAAAGTTTTTCACAAAATCCAATACTTTTCAAGTTATTGGCAATTGAAAATTCGCAATTTTTTCACGTTTTTCATCGGTTTTTTGCAAATATCTCCAAAAATATACGTTTTATCGAAAATTTTATAAAGAACCAAATTGTAGCAGGTAAAACAATGAACAATTTAGTTTTTTGTTAAGTATTCTAAGTGCAAATATGATTTTAATTTATTTTCAGTTACGAAGTAGAAAAATAATAATAATTTATTATTTTTCTACTTCGTAACTGAAAATTTCGGAGTGTGAATATTTGGAGCAATGTGAAAGTACGCAGTATAATAGAGACCCACAACTATTGTAATGTGTATATATATACAAATATGGCTCATATATTTTGGAAACGTAGGCATGAATACATACCAACGTTCTTATATGTATATATAACACATTTGAGTGAAGGGGCCAACGAAAAAGCCATGTGATTAGCTATGCGTGCTCCGTTTATTCGTTATAATGTGATCAGTATAATATTTTAACTAGACACCCAATTTCAATACACTTTGTTTAATAAAAAATGTAAGTAGATAAAAAACCTGTTTTTTTAATAATATCTTATTATAATAATAATAATATCTTATACATTACTTACTCTATACTTACATCTTTTTATGTCATACCAAAGTATTTTTTTGTGTTTTTTTTCAATTTAGGGGTTGTTTGCAAGGGCTGTTAGATTTTCAGGGGGTTGAAAATGATTTTAATATGAGGTAATTATGTTAGAAAATACTTTAAAATTTCACCACTTACTATTAGACATGTTTTCTAGCGATAAAATGGCTCAATGCCAATTTTTCCATTAAGGGGTTGTTTACACCCCTTAAAAATAATAGGCTCAGTTCAGATCATTTTAACTTTTGAAGTTAAGAGTAAGATGAGCCTAATTCCAAAATTTCATGCAAATCGGTTCACAGTTAAAAAATTCGGAGGTAAGTCCGTATTTTTCGCTTCAATGACTGCACTATTTTTAGAAGAGATGTTTATGTTGCTTTTACTATTAATAAATATATAACATATTAGACAACCCTTTTTTACTTATCACACACCAAGAAAAGATAATAAACTCAAATAGAGAACACATAACTAGGTGGTTCATTGTGAAAAATACCCTGGTTTAATTGGCTTAATGGCTAGTACCACTGGGTGTACACATTGAACCAATTACGTTTTTTTAAAAAAAAAACTATAATGCTCATAAATCGTTATAGTTTTTAAGTCAAAGCTATCTAAAACTAAGATAAATTCTCTATCTGTTAACAAAAAGAATAAACATGTAAGAGAGAAACAGAAGCAAATACAGGCATTCAAAATTTACCTGGTTCATTGATGAACAACGTACCCTACAATTCTGTCTCGCTCGCTCGATTGAATGTTTACTTACAGAAGTGTGCCTGTGTGAGAGTTGGTTATGTAGTTGAGTCGGATCATATTTTATTTGATGCTAGTATGAGCGTACCGAATCTTCCTGTTTTGTTTTAATTTCAGTCACTAATTACAATTACCGACCATTGCGGAAGATGCTTAACCTTCACGATTGCAGACCGAATGCGCTTACCACCTGCGCCCATCGAGCTCCTCGCCTCGCCTATCAGATCGGTCGAATTAAGGAAATAACATGGCCAATAGATTTTCCTCAGACAAAAAAAAATTAAAACCGCTAATGACGTAAGTAGAACAAAACAAAACACAGGAGGTTGCTACTCCGTGTATGAGAAAGAGAAATTTGCAGACAACCAACCCGAGCCAACGTTGTGGTTGACCTCACGATTTCGATTGTCCACGCGAAATGTTACGAGGGAACTGAACCGATGTCACGATCGAGACAATTCCAGTTTCATAGCCAAGGTCAACTATGTGTCCACTGACACTTTATACGGCGCGAAAGGGTCAGAGGGCCGCTCGCATCCTATAAAGAAATGTGCCATTTATTGTTGTACACTTACTTGATCTCATTGACTAGATACATATTTATAATTTTTATTATTTTTAAAGCATGTAACTGCTTGATGTTTAAATCTAAAGAAAATATAACTAGAAAAATTCCACGCGGACCAGGCAGCAGACGGGACTCGAACCCGCACCCTTCGCAATCCGGGCGAATGCACTGACCAATTATGCTACCGCGGCCCTCACGGACCGCGTCGAAATTCCTTCTAGCTATTCTTAAGCTGCAAGGCAGCGCCATCTCTTCGCATTATAGGTAAACCCACAATGTCAAATGAATACTTTTACAAGTATTAAACATTTGAAAGAAGAAATAGCAATTATAGTTATAATTTTTATTATTTTTAAAGCATGTAACTGCTTGATGTTTAAATCTAAAGAAAATATCACCCTATCGGCCCTCACGGACCGCGTCGAAGCTAGCTAGAAGGAATTTCGACGCGGTCCGTGAGGGCCGCGGTAGCATAATTGGTCAGTGCATTCGCCCGGATTGCGAAGGGTGCGGGTTCGAGTCCCGTCTGCTGCCTGGTCCGCGTGGAATTTTTTCTAGTTATATTTTCTTTAGATTTAAACATCAAGCAGTTACATGCTTTAAAAATAATAAAAATTATAACTATAATTGCTATTTCTTCTTTCAAATGTTTAATACTTGTAAAAGTATTCATTTGACATTGTGGGTTTACCTATAATGCGAAGAGATGGCGCTGCCTTGCAGCTTAAGAATAGCTAGAAGGAATTTCGACGCGGTCCGTGAGGGCCGCGGTAGCATAATTGGTCAGTGCATTCGCCCGGATTGCGAAGGGTGCGGGTTCGAGTCCCGTCTGCTGCCTGGTCCGCGTGGAATTTTTTCTAGTTATATTTTCTTTAGATACATATTTATGAGATTTAAAGGGGATTTCAATAGGATAACACAAAGATTTGATTATATTGGTGCTTTTCACTGTTTATAATAAGACTAGTGGCCCGCCCTCGCTTCGCTTCGGTGTAGAACTGTAGTGTAGGTAGACTAAAGTTTTTGTTCTCAGGCTTGTATTTTACACAATGAATTCTTTGATGTAATTATAAACCTTCAATGAAAATGTATTTAACTGATAGCTTTTTTTTTAAATCGGTCCAGTAGTCTCGGGCCCTATTCAATACAAACAATAAAATCTTTCTCTTTACAATAATTATAATATTAGTATATATACAGGCTGTATTGTAACGGGAAATGTTGTTGAAATAATAATGCAAAGGAAAAGTTTAATGTAAAAATTAAAAGAATCAAACTAAGAAGAATAGTTTCGTTCGACGTAAGCAAATATTAATAACTAGCTGACCCAGCGAACGTCGTATCGCCATAAAAATATGGGTGGTAGAAGGATGAAAATTTAGGGCTGTATGTATTATTTAATGCCACATTATATATATAAAAAAAGTTAGGTGTGGACAACCCTTATCACTTAGGGGTATGAAAAATAGATAGTAGCCGATTCTCAGACCTACTAAAAATGCACAAAAAATTTCATAAAAATCGGTCAAGCTTTCTTAGGAGTATGGTAACTAACATTGTGACACGAGAATTTTATAATAAGCTGTTATATTTCATAAAATTATTACAATACAATTATAACGATCTGTTTATCTCTAATCCCGTTTTCAATCTGTTATCCATCGAATCGAGAAAAACTGTACTTGAATTCTATATTTTAAATGTGGTTTATAGCTTTAAATATGCCAGCCGTAGGTACTAGAGAAGCAAAGAGACTGTAACGCTGCGGGCGTTACGGTACTATGGAAGCCAAATTGAAGCAAAAGATCGGCGGCGCTATAGCCGACAGTTAAAAATAAAAATAATAAAATCGGGAGTTTCATCATCATCATGATGCTGTTTAATATCCCCACTGCTGGGCCATATGCCTTCCCTATGGATGGAATAGGGAGATCAGGTCATGATCCACCACGCGGGTCCAGTGCGGATCGGTGGATGCTATGACTGCAGATGCAGCCGGGACCAACGGCTTAACGTGCCTCCGAAGCACGGAGGAGCTCGCGATATTAAGTTTCTGGTCACCTATCCAATGACCAACCTTTGCGAAAGTTGCTTAATATTCACGATCACAGACCATTCGCGCCATCGAGCTCCTCATTGGGAGTTTAAAACAACTATTTTGAAAATTATCTACTTAAGACAGCGAGCCCCCAGGTTCAACGTTCGGTTGGCAGTCCAACATTTTTCATATCAAGTTAAGTTTTTTCATTAAATGAGTTACATGGTTATTAAAATATGAAAGATTTTATTATGTATTTATTATTATTTTTTATTATTATGTATTACTAGTGGCCCGCCCTCGCTTCGCTTCGGTGTAGAGCTGGTAGTGTAAACTATAGTTTTTGTTCTCAGGCTTGTGCTATAAACAATGACTTTATTTATATGCTGTTACGGGCTGTTTTTTAGACAATTTTATGTAGAATATTTCCGTCATACATGATTTCTATGTAACTTTAACCATTAAGGCTGCACACGCGACGGAAGCTTAAAAAATGGAGTAACTTCTCCCGTTTTCCTAACATTCCCCTTCACTACTCTGCTCCTATTGATTGTAGCGTAATGAAAAGTATACTATAACCTGCCCAGGAGTATGAAGAATAATTGTACCAAGTTTCGTTAAAATCCGTCGAGTAGTTTTTGTTTCTATAAGGAACATACACACAGACAGACAGACAGACAAAAATTTTACTGATTGCAGTTTTGGCATCAGTATCGATCACTAATCACCCCCTGATAGTTATTTTGAAAATATATTTCATGTACAGAATTGACCTCTCTACAGATTTATTATAAGTATAGATTACGATATAGGTGCTGGTAATTGTATTTTGATGCACCCATGTACTAAAGAAGCGATACTGTTATACAAATTTATTCAAGCTGCCTTAAAAAATAGATAAGTTAATTTTGTATAGTATGTTTATGAACATTCTTAGACATAAATTATAGGGGTGACATATCTACGGACAAAACCCCTAATTATAATTGTACAATAAAGATGAAAAAGAAAATGACGTAAGCCTTTTGCCCTTCCTCGCGTTAATAAAGAATATTTTCCTACATTGCGCTTATATTAAATTAAAATAAACACTTCATTAAAGTAAAACTGGTAAAAGTGAAAAAAGGTGAGTTAAGATTCGGCGCGAAAACAGAAATTTTAGGAATAACAAGTACATAAACAAATATACCATTGTCACACATTCTGTATGTAAAAATCAAAATAGTGAAAAACCAAACCTTGCAAAAGGAAATTGATAAATCTTTGTAAACAATCTGTCGCTTATCAGCTATGTAAATAACTATTTTCCGCTTAATCATGGTTATTAAATTACGTTTATTAATCGATTACATCACAAGGTTAACTATGAATTACCTATACCTACGTACCTACTGAAGCGTTCGATACGGTTGCACAAGACTGAATAACCTGTTTTCAACGGTTTCCCATACTTTTCTGTAATCGCGGCTGTACACACTATCCGCAAGCCTCTCGTCGAGTCTCGCCCGAGGAGGCACTCGGAAGAGTGTGTACAGTCGCGATTACAGAAAAGTATGGGAAAGCGGTGAGTGAATCTTCGAGTGCCAATCAAACGGCTTTCATTTTCCTCGCGAGATATAACGAGATCCTGTCTCAAGAGTCGACCAGCGAACGAAACTCACGAAACGAGGCGCGAGAGGCCGAGACGAGAGCACCGGTTGGTCTCGACCTGTCCCAGGGTGCCTCGGCGAGTGTGTACAGTCGGCATAAGTTAAGTACTTTAGAGTCATGATCTCGCGTGCACTAATCAGGTTCGAACTGTACAAAGCTTCGGCTATTAACCCAATGATTAATTAACCGAGGTATGCAGATTTTTCCATTTACAACGTTTAGCTGGGGCATGTTCGTTCGTCTTCAGGAAACCAGCGAACGAGATGAAGTAACTCTAGTTATTCTAGTTCAAATGAAGTATTGCTAGTAAGTTATTATAACCGTTAAGGGCATGATAGCAAGAGTATTTATACTAATGTCCATGAACAACTTAATCAAGTCAATAATCTGGTCACTCCAGAAAAACTTGATCTGGCAGCCCTTTCATGTCATTCATAAATGTCAAAAATGTCATGTCATAAGAGAATCTTTCGTTTCAAGAAATTTCTTAATTGCCTTGGAGAGAAAAGATGAGAGGAAAGTGAATGAAAGTGTGGATTTATAAAATAATAAGTCAAAATAAATCTGCCAAGGAACAAATGGAGTAGGGTCTTATGCAAAAAGAGCAATGTTATGAAAAAATCCTAACGTCAACGAGTGAGTTTCAATCAATTTCTTGATACTTGTTTGTTTTTAAATTGGTATTTTTATTTAATTTATAAGAGTTGACCATATAAGAGAAAAAAATGAGGTGGAGTATGAAGGAGAAGAGGTTAAAGAGGACATTTAATATGAAGGAATTAAAGTTGTGGATGCGGAACTATCTTTCAGGGATTAACAGAGTAATTTTTGAAGAAAAATCATTGAAATCGATCTCGAAAATATGCGCGAGAAACATAAAACGATTTTTGACAATAACCTTCTCTTTTTTACTTTTTAAGCCAAAAATTCAAAATAGCATCGACAAAGTATGGCATGCTAGGAGCAATTATTATTTGTTTCTAACTGGAATGCATAACTCGTTTTATTTATATGTATTTCGTCTCCCAAAGAACTCATAGATCTTCACCTAATTAATATGCAATGTAAATCCTGTGATTGAAGCTACCTAATATCACTGTTCAGTATTTGTTGTTTAAATACAGATTTTGAAATTTATATCTTTCACATTCTTAACTAGTTTCAATTTTGAGATAGACCTCGTAGTAAAATCGGTATACAAATTTACACTTTCACGGCTAACCTGTACACTTTTATTTGGTGTACAGTGAGTGCATTGTGACTAATATTGAGTGTTTACTGTATGAACACTGTAATAATATTCATATCCTACTCAACGAGCTCTAGACTATGATGTATCACATGTGTATATATATTACTTTCCTTTTTAAGTCGATTAAAAATAAAGTATCAGGGACAGTTAATTAAACTATAATCAGTAATGCCATGTGCAAAGTTTAAATTTTTGCGATTGTCAGTTAACTGCACAGTTATCGTGGTCTGAAGTTAGTATCAAACTATTGCTTTAATGTAAGCGTAGTCTCGATGGGTGCATTAAATAAGCTTTTTAAAATATATAATATATAAAAATAAACGCTTCATTGATGGGTGAACTTTTTTTTTAATATAATAACAGATAAGTCTCCTCAGCCTATGAGACATGTAAACTAATAACATGTATCGTAGGTTGAGGAGATTAATCTGTTATGTGGAAATTATCATCATTTAAGGCTCAAATCATCGTCTACACCTGCTTGCTTACGAAAGTACTCAGTCCATTTCTTCTTCTATATGCGCATGAATGTGTTAAAGAACCCATAATGTACCTAGATTAAAATTCTATCTACACAAATAACAAGCAAATACAAACTGAACGAACTTTATATTAATATTACGAACGTGAGGGCTTGCAACCAGTGTTAATATAAATGCATATTGCGATTAGCTGTTACTTACATGATTATGTCGAGTCTTTACAATATAATTTTATATCTTCATGCAGAGCTCATCCACGAACGCCTCGTGAATAGAGTTTGTAATTCTGAGGATATTACCTTCCTACTGTATGAACATGAAATGCTAATACGTGAATATCAAATATGTATAAAAGGTTTGGTAAATTGAAACATAAAGTTTAGTGAAGACGTCGGCACTTTACGACTGACTGCTTTGTAATGGTAGATTTCTAAATTGATATTTATTGACTTTGTATAGTCACTTTTTTCGCGGAAGTCTAGCCACACAAGTCAAGGAGGTAAAGTAAACATAAAACGATTTATGTTTACTTTATCTCCTTAAGGCAGAATAGTCGGATGTTTATACTATTTTTGGTAAGGTGGCGTGATTATGTCTCCCGTGTGCGCCTATCCCTATCTTGACGCGCTCTACAATCGCGATCCTAGCCATTAAAATTCTGAGGTGTACCTTTCTTGCTAGCAGTGACGGTGTGGGTTCTTTATTGGAAATCAACCACCCTAGGCACTTAAACCTGGATCCACCTATTGTAATTATGAAAATCTTACTTGAAGCCCGCATCATAATTTTTTTGAGCGTAAGTGTTTCAACGTAAGCGTGACTGCAAGAACACAATTTAGCTTTTCTGTCATAAGCCATCTAAAAATCATTCAACGAGGAGCTTTTATTAAAGTATTCTCATGTATTGAGATTGTATTATTTGCTGATGACACATCTTTATTATTTAACGTTGACAGGCGCAAAAACAACAATGACGATGTGAATAATGCTCTCTCGCAAGTTCTGCAATGGTTTAATGTCAATAATCTAAAGCTAAATGCTAATAAAACCAAGTGTATTCAATTTTCCTTACCTAATGTAAAAGTTGACCATATTGGAATTAAATTAAATAATGAAAAATTAGATTTAGTAGACTCGACTACATTCTTGGGTATAACGGTAGACTCAAAACTGCAATGGAGTCATCACATTACGCCTTTGGCTGGTAAACTTGCAAAGTTCAGCAGCTTATGCCATAAGAAAGATAAGACAACTTACTGATATAGATACTGCCAGGACTGTATATTTTAGTTACTTTCATAGTATCTTATCATACGGCATTTTACTCTGGGGAACAGCAGCTGATATTGAAAGTATATTCATTTTACAAAAAAGAGCTGTGAGATCTATTTATCAATTGAGTAGCCGAACATCTCTTAGAGAAAAATTTAAAGTAATTGGCATTTTGACTGTTGTTTCTCAATTCATTTACAATTGCATACTCCTTGTTAAAAATAATATCAATTTGTATACCAAACACAGTAACGTGCACAATTATAACACAAGGAATAGAAACAAGCTTGCATTGCCACCCTACAGGTTACAGAAGGTTTACCGATCTTTTATGGGTCAAGGTATACATTTTTACAATAAAATTCCTGATGCTGTTCTTGAGTTACCCATAAATGAGTTCAAATGTCACATTAAAAGTTGTTTCCTTAAGAAAGGCTATTATACTATTAAAGAATACTTGAATGACAAAACTGCATGGCTGTAACTGCAAAATTGTTTTGTATTTGTTTGCAGTGTCGTACAGATAAATTACCTTAACTCTAAAGTACTATTTTGCAGTTTGGTTTGAGTAGTTATGGGTAGTCATACTCTCTTAAAAATCTCTTCGGCGGTGTCGTGTGAGGCGGGTCGTTGCGTTCCCTAAAATATGGTTGAGCGAAGCGATGGCTGGTTCATGCGTCATGCTCGTGAACGGGTGCTGCCAGCGGAGATGAGTCTGCTCTATACTACTTTATTATTGTAATGATAATTATTATTAAATTTAGATTCTATTTTACATTAAACAACTTATATTTATACTGTATGACACAGCAATCAAAATGTAAGTGAACATTTATTATTTCTCTGATAAAAATTTAATGGCGGTGTGGATTCTGGTATGGTTTTCTAGACCTGAACTTGGTTTTGCAGCGGTGTATCCTTGTCATTCTCTATACAGACTGAAAAGGGGGGACTGATGTTGGATTTGGTTTTGGGTTGGGAGAGTAGTGCCAGAATCGACAACAGTGTTTAGGTAATCACATGCATGTGTCCTGCCGTTGTGTTTATAGTTTATTATAATAATGTACACTGGTACTTATGTATATTTTTTTTTCTATTTTTGTAACATATTATCCATGTGTGGTTATGAGTAGTCATGCTCTCTTAAAAATCTCTTCGGTGGTGTCGTGTGAGGCGGGTCGTTGCATTCCCTAAAAATGGTTGAGCGAAGCGATGGCTGGTTCTTGCGTCATGCTCGTGAACGGGTGCTGCCAGCGGAGATGAGTCTGCTCTTAATTATTTATTTTTTTTGCCTAAACGGTAGGACACGTCATTCCTAAACTTTGTTAAATTAAACTTTGCATTTTTTTTTGTAATGGAAAGTGACTTTATGATTTACCTCACATTGAAGTCATTTTTCAATTTGACGACTCTGTATATAATACAGGGGAAAAAAAAACAGCCCTTGCTGAGTTTCTTGCCGGTTCTTCTCAGTACAAGGTCTCCCGCCGTAGATTTGCGAACCGATGGCGTAGCTTTTCGACATTCACAAGTGCTTGTAACAGCCTAGACTGAATAAACGATTTTGAATTAAGAATTTTATGATCCTTGAGTATTGATTCTAGGCTGCCCGAGTACGTATTCCTGACATACACAGCGCCGTCGCCTCCGTCTACCAATAACAACCTCCCGTCCGGCCCGAGCTCTGCCTGCTACTAGTCGTACACGTACCTTATTACAACACTATACTCACGTATAGTACTTGGGTATCGCTTACAGCCTATTGAGTACCTGTTCCAGACATACACAGCGCTGGCACCGCAACAACCGCCACTCCAGCCAGAATGTCGCCCGTGACCATTCGCACCCCACCCTTACTGTATCAGTATACTCACGTATGGTCCTTGAGTATTGCTTCTAGCCTGCCCGAGTACGTGTTCCAAACGTACACTGCGCCATCGCCTCCGCCTACCGACAGCAGCCGCCCGCCCGGCCCGAACGCTGCCCGCGACCAGTCGCACCCCACCTTGAAAGACTCGTGACTGAAAAAAAAATCATTTCTATTCAATACTTAAAACAGTATAAAAGGAAGAAAGGAAAAGAAACTTAATAACGTTTGCAATGCTTGCTACGTATACGTTTATGAAGGATCTATAAGTCTGAAGCAAATATTTGTGCTTTTCAAGATTGGAACCCAGGACATTTGGCGCAGAAGGCAGTATCATTTCATCGCTGATGAAAATTAATTAATATTAATAGTCATAACATTATCACGTCTAAATAATAAATACTATATGGAACAATAAAACTGTCTCCAGTGACCAGATATTAAGAATAGTTCTACACACACAAATTCATAATAAATGCTTTCCGTTGCGAACAGAGCACACTCATTAATGACTCAGCACGACGAAGTTAAGGTTAAACTGGGCGAATTTTTCATAGTGCGACGCAAAGACTATCTTTTAATAACTCCATTAGCTATTTTTCGCTTATTCCTGTTTCTCAGTGGAAAGTCATCATAATGATTGTAAAGATGACAAACCAATTACTATTGAACAAATAAACAAACATTGTTCACATTTGCAGTGCTTACAAAATAATAAAGTAGGTAAATACTTACTTACTTAAGTATTCATGATTCTATGTCAAGAGCTGTGTTCATAGAAAACCATTCATCTATATTTACTATAAGTTTTTGTTTAACTCTTAGAATTACTCTCAAACATTGTCAAGGAGCTTCAATTAAATAAAAAATCCGTGCTCTCCTAACAGTGTCAGTATCCTTTGACAGTAAGAGCAAACAAATTACAGTTATGCCAACCGTTTCATTCGATTTTATATCTAATCAATCATAATATGCAAATCCACTCTTAATAAGTGTATATTATGCAAACAGTAAATGCGATCCTTTGATAGGTAGAAATAACTACTTTTTCATATTTAGAGTTTAATGCCAAATAATTCATTACATAACGGTTCTTAAAATATTTTTGTTCAATTTCCGTAATTGGTTGTATAGTGGTGGTACGGTATTTATATGTATACTAATATTATAAAGCTGCAGAGTTTGTTTGTTTGTTTGAACGCGCTAATTTCTGAAACTACTGGTCCGATTTGAATGATTCTTTCAGTGTTGGGTAGTCCATGTATTGAGGAAGGCTATAGGCTATTTTTTTTTTCAAAATTAGGGATCCGTAATAAAATTGCTATTTTGTAACACAAGGTGTAAAATCGAAAACCTATTTTTGCGTGCGCTGCAAAAACTATTGACAATAGAACAAAATGATGTACTACTGGTTTGTAGAACTCTTTAAGACCTACAAAAAAGTCCGCGAGAACATATATCTATCTATCATGGTTTAATCACAATAACTGATTTTGTGTTCAAAATAATTATGAAATCGTCTGAAGAAAAAAAACTACGTTAAATATGTATCGTAATATTAATCTTTATCAAAATTATTTTACTTCTACATACATGTTATCAAGAGTATTTATGTAGAAGTAAAATACTTTTTGTTTCATCTCAATCGGATATAGATATCGGAGATATTTCGTTTAAAAGTTATCACGTGTGTAAGATGTTAAGAGTTGGTACCTATTAATGAGTTATGGGCCATAGAATTTTTTATCAACATAAAATTTTGTAATAATCTTTTTCGAAATATATTTGTTATAGAAACGCGGGTGAAACCGCGGGGCACGGCTAGTCGTACATAACGCGACTTTTTGGTGAAACTGAAGTTAATCCTCTACGCTCGATGCGCGAAATGTGTGCGAACACAGGACAATGGGCAAAACGCACCCAGCTCCGCCAACACTGTAATTAGTATGAATCGATAGATCTATGAAAAACTAGCCTTTTTTATCATGACATCGAAAATAAATATTCTGGGAGTCAATAGATATGACACCGTAAAAAATATCCTGGTAGTCAATAGATATGACACATGGGCATATTTAAGTAGCTGAATAAATTCATTTTATAATACCTTCATTTTATATTATTAGTAATCATAATAATATGCCATATCGTACTATACAACCAGATATACGACAAAGCCTGCCGACCATCCTGCGCTTGCTCTTACTGAGACATTTCAAAACGGTTTACGAATGCTATAGGACTTGCAGTTGCAAATAGTTGAATCGTCTTACTTCGTTGTGATTGTGCGCTCCCTGCTACTTGATTGATTTTTATCTAACACGCTTTGGATATTGGAACACGATTATCGGTTTTGTCAATTAGTATGGATAAACTAGAATTATGTGTTCTTCGTAGCGTGAACAAGTTTGTGTAATCTGTGGTCCGTTCGTCCGTTTTACATAGAAGACAATTTACTATAACGAATAGAATGTTTAAAAATAGACCAACCCATGCGGGGATTTTTGAATTTACTCTAGCGCGCCAGAATAACATAAGGGGGCACCCTTGCACCTTATGAAGTACTCCCATAATTCCCGAGCAGTCTATGTAGGGTCGAACTAACTAACTAAATTAATTCCCTTGTGAAATTAATGTTCGTTCGTTATAGTACTTCTACATATTTAACTTAAAATAACTAAAGACCCCCGGGATGGAATTTGATGCGCTTTAGCACAGATGATCATGACTATAATACCTTTCAAACAAATGTAGTTTAAGCCGTGGCGAACGTGGGTGCAGGGTGGGTCCATACATTTTTGCCCAATGTCCTTTACGTTCAATAATTGACTACCGGTTGGAGCATTGCATACTTGGCATGTGACCCTGTCTTTTGCTACAAATAATTTCGAATACCGCTGGTGGTGCTTTTGGCGCGATGAGCACATTGGTGTCCAAATCATGATAGGTATATGCCGTAGGATATGCAGGCAGAAGAAGTCGCGGAAATGCACTAGTACTTTGGAAATGTTCTGTTGTGACCTATACTCGTAAATCTGTAATAATTCCATCCGATAATAGTTTTAAAAATCAGACTATACAAAGACTTTCTGTTACATGTGTCCTTGGAATTTCTCATGAATCAAAGCTTTCCTTTGATAACATATAGATAGCATTGTGAAAAAAGCTTCACGAACTCTAGGATTTGTTATGCGCACTTCAGCTTGTTTCAATGACATCAAAACGATAAAAACTCTGTACTGCACTAACGTTAGAAGCATACTGGAGTATGGGTCCGAGATCCGGAATCCTCGCTACACAAATACATTAACCGCATCGAGCGACTACAGGCAAATTTTGTGAAATTCTTGTGCTTTCGTCTATAAATGCCCTACACTTCCACGAAATACTTAAGTTGACGTTCCCGATTTCACCTTCTTCCTACAATACAAACGACGTGAACTATCTGCCGATTTGCTAAAAATTATATCAAATAAAATTATTTCTAAACTAAACTTCAATGTCCCATCGAAATCAGCAAGGCACTATATCCCAAGTTTCCACAAATAATCGACAAAATGCATTCTTATTGCGAGCGAGCATTGCACTCAACGAATATTGCAAGTCTAAAAGAAACTTTGATATATGCAATTCTAGTGTAGCGACTGCAAGGCATCTTCTATGCAGTGAATTTTTTGAACGAGTGATGTGATAGTATCTAATCACTAACAATTTAGAACTAAAACTAAATGATAACAATAATTTGCTATTAATAAAAGAACATTGTTTAACATTTTTAAGAGGGCGAATTGTCTTTACTATGTAGACCAATCCTATTATTTTGTCCACACGTTTTAAATTTTAATTATTTTCATATGTAAAAGTATAAAGATTTCTGTTTTTTAAACGTGGAGACCTGTAATTGGCCTTCTGTAACTAATTTTTTTCGTCAACTATGTCTGTTTTTATGAGCTGTTGGTCTCCCAAAAATTAAATAAATAAATATTATATGTCGTAGGATTATTTGATAAATCGAATTTTCGCTAAAATCCTAGGGCTTTTGCGTAAACGCGGATAATTAATAATGGCGAAGTAAATATGAGTTTCATCGCCATTGTCTAATTATCTGCGTTTCCGGAAAAACCCCAAATTCATTTTATCAAATCATCCTACGACACATATATAAAACATTACGAATTACTTGTGAGTTTCCCTTTGGCTGTGTGGTTCAGTTGGTTTCAGATACAAAGTACCAACTTTTCCAGTTAAAGGTTGAATTCTGAGACAAAAACGTATTTCTATAACAGTATAGAAATACGAAACAGTTCTATACCAAAATTCATCGACATAGGTTCAGTGGTTTAGCGTAAAGAGGTAACAGACAGACATACTTTTGCATTTATAATATTAGTATGGCTATCTATTATTACAATACTAACTTAGTTTTGTACCTACTCAATATTTGAAATAAATTGTCCAACATTTTTTTTTCAATCTTATTTATTTAGAGGCTTTTACCTAATATAATAGATATGCCAGCCCCATCATATCGTAACATAATAAATTACAAAATTATTATAAAACTACGAAGATTCATTGTTGCAAAAATAAATATAAGTGTAATATGAACACTTCCGACTGGGGATCTGCCAATATTGTTGCGAATATCCCTACACCGAACACATTTACATTATGTTTTTGCAATAATGACATTGTGTTATTGTTAGTCCAAAATATTGTAATTTACAATAATTGAGACAATACGAACTATAAAAACTACAAAGATCTAATAAAAGACATATTTTATCCAAAAATGTACAAAAAACGGAGTGCTACTATACTCTATTCAACTTCCGTTGAGACAAAAGTTATACAAATACAAATCATAAAAAGGTTTTTCAATAATTCCAATTTTATACGTATATAAAATCATAATAAAAAAAGTAACATTAAAAAGACCTAAAACTGCGGCTATTCCCAAACTTTGAACGCATTGTAATACTACTAAATTGAAGGATAGTGATAAAGCAAGCACATTGAAATGTGATCTTTTGATTTTTGTTATCAGTATGGTTACACCGGTCATCTTTCCTCTTGATAGATAGAAAAGTTTTAGAAACACTGGTTTATTTGTTTACCCTTTGCCTCAGAGGAACTTGAATAGAGCATAGGTGAATGTTACGAATACTAATAAATTATATTTTAAGAAACACAACTCTGGGTAAGCAACGTGAAAGATTTTACTTCCTGAATGGAATCTTTTCTAAAGACTTTTACACATAGAAATTAGAAGGTGATTCCTAATAACGACAAATAAAATTGTGTTTGCAATTTCCTAACACAATTTTACTAGTCGTTAGTGCATTAGCTCACGTCAAAGGTGAATTTGAATGGATAGTTCGTTTTATTTGTAAGTCGTACCTACTGATAAGTGTCCATTCATTCAATCTACAACTTTGCGCTAAGTGTGCAATAGAATGATTAGTCTATGGTAATCTATGATGCCGGCGCGTGCAGATTTATCTCTGCGTACTGTTGTCGTTGGTTTTCTATCGTTGTCTACACATCGTAAGTCTCGTAGTAGTGCAACATTGTTACATGATTCAATGCTATTAGATATTCTTGTACTGTTTGCAAGATTGTAGCTATCTCAAAGGGGGCAAACTTAAATTCTCCGTACAGTGCATGAACAACTTGTGCACCATGATTGATTTCATTTCAGAGCGCATCAGGCAGGACTGTTTATAGGTTTTAAATTTCCTTAGAGCCTCCAAACGTAATAATTAACACATTGTCGCATTCGATGTTGGATAAGTTATAGGCCCTCTATATATATACCTTGTAACGCAGAACTTTTGATGTCATAATATCATTATGCATATCAGCGGATGGTATAAACTTCATTTCGCAGAAAATCATTTGGCATTATCTCATTTAGGAGACATTAAACATCAAATTGATCAATCAATCAATTGACATCAAACGCATAATTTTGTTAATCAGAGTCAGAATCGTTTATAGGCATACAAAAATTTAACCTTTCTTTGATCAATTTTCAACCAATGAAATTTTAAATTTTTGTATGCCTACAAACGATTCTGACTGTGAACTTTTTCCGATATGATAGTTCTGCCTTTTAATTATTGTGATTATTAAAATGCCTTAAGATAATTCTGATTAACAAAATTATGCGTTTGATGTCTATTGATTGATGATTGATTGATCAATTTGAATAGATAAATGAACAATCATTTATCTATTATCAATAGTGACTTCGCTCGCTCGGTTCGCACTAAGATTAAATAATAACAAATAAATTAAAGTTGCAGGTACGTTTCTGGTACAAAGACACCAAGAACGACACGGGGTGGTTTATTTATGAAATTTAAATAAAAAATATAAAAATATTTGTATTTCCAAGGTTTTCTTGTTATTCTTGTATGTAAATAAATAGATAAATTATACTCAATAAAATATATGCCTTATAAATATTCGTTTAAAGAAGATTATGCTAAGTGTGTTACGCCAAATGAATTTCGTAGCAACAAGATACTGCCAGATAGAGGGAACCTCTTATATTAAATTGTAGTAAAACTAAGACCATTTTATTAGGTACATAATTAATAAGTAAGATAATAAGTATATAGGTGGCTTCTTTTCTATCTGGTGTATATTCATGATAAAAGCAACTACTCGACAGATAACCTCTGTGATAGCAGATAAGATGACAATAAACCTTTATCCTAACACTGGGGCAAGTCTATTGTTCTTCCAACGCAAAGACACAAGAATGGTTAATGTGCCATAAAGGTCCATATCTTCATATTCATCTAAAGGGCTCTAAATAATCAGAAGCGAAATGTTCGTTACTCTAGAGGACATGCGCAGCTAATATTACCTGAAAGAGCGCACAATCGTGTTCATCCTCAGGTCTATTAGTTGTATTGTGTCGTCCCGCACGCACGCTAGTAAATAGTTACTGTCTGCAACAAAGAAAAACATAAATAATATTAAAATAAACTTTGCATTGATGCGTCCATAATTTTCTATCAAGTCTCGGCTATTAGGGATTAGGCAGCATACTTCGAGATACAAGAAAGGCTTGTCACTGTCGATAATGCCTTAAAAGAAAATTAAACGACAGAGCCGATGATGTATAAGATTACAAAATTATACGACGGTACTCTCTGGACTTAATTTAGGTACTTTGTGTTCCACCCTACGACCCGTTATTTTCCTTTATTGCTTACCTTTTCGATGGTCGTATAAAGATAAAATTTAACCTTAAACCTCTCAAATAGCACACATAAAATGTTCAATATAAGGTGAACAGGAACACGGATAGAACATTTTATTGAATTAAGCGCGGAGATAATGTGTGATCGAAGCAACGTCGATCGTGGCTCGTGGAAGGAGCACTTGGATTAGTATAGGGTTAATCATAAATAAGTCCTATTAGTAGGTGCACAGATTTAACCAACGTAAGAATATCTAACGATGTGAAAGTCTACCATTGAATGACGGTTATAAAGCGGTGCGCATCAATGTAAAATTTCGCACTTAGAAAGCTAGCTAACTATATTTAAAGCTTCCAAGCTTTTGCGCAATGACTTGAATTGCACCAATTGTCAGTTACTACATAATTGTCTTACTCCTGAAATGTATCGTTACCTATCATCCGCTGTACTTTCTATTCAAATATAGATATTTAAAGGCTTAAATATATGAAACCGTATGAAAATTCTTCCTACGGCATGATGCTAAAACAATTCCAACGCATACATCCAAATTTGGGACTAAGGTAGTAGTTTTCCAAAGCAGTCCAAGTCGCAGATCCGCCATGTGATAGTATTGATATATCTAGAGCGGCCGTGATCGCTTGCTGCGCGCCGCCGTCTCCCCATTCATTTGTCAGTCGATCGCCGGCGACGAAATCGACGTGATTTAATCAGTTTCCGACGATGCGACGTCCCGACACTCCGATTGATTGAAGGTATCAATCTCAACGTTTCGTGAGCCATACAGACCGTTACAGACAAAAAAGGGTTCGATCGAGACGCGCTAACGGAAATGGGCAGCCGACTCGTCACGTTGTACCGACTGACACGAATACCGATACTAATACGTTGTGCATTCAATTATCAGTTAATATTGCTCTTCACGTTAAGAAACTAATAAGCTCAGTGATTCCTAACTGTTTGCGCATGTTCAAGTTTTGGACGCGTCATATAACGACCGCGGGGCAAGATTATTATCTAATACTTGATCGCCTCCCTGTGGCTTCATTAAAGCGGCTATAAAATTGCATTTAAGTACCTTTAATAAATACATTGGTCAATACAATTGTCTTGTTATGGATACAGTTTCTAATGAGTTGAAGTACAGAGTTCTGACCAAATAAAGAAAAATAATTAATAAGATGATTATTAAAGTTAGTAAGTTATATTAAGTTTAAATTAAAATAACGTATCTACTATATTAGAACATTTGAAGTTACGAAATGACTATAATATTATATACTGTGAGATATTAATAATTATCCAATCAACGGCGATGATGAATTTAAAATATATAATCACAGCGTGATTAACGTTACCAAACGAGTTTGCATCGTTGGTTAATTTACAATTCAAAGTTGCAGAAGCAGTAAAACAAACTTTGATTTGCGGCGAAAGCGTGACCACTTCGAACGTTTGTGCATAGTTAACAGGGGGGTAATAAATTTGTGAAATAATTACCTCTGCTGAGGTCAAGCGATGTGATCCTGCCCTGGAGCATGATGTCGTTGGCCGAGACATCTGAGCGGATGTCCCAGAAACGAATCCTCTTGTCATAGTGGCCAGATATGATGGTGGAGCCCGCACCGTCTGACGTCACTAAGTCGTTACATGATGAACCCGCAAATTTTGTTTCCGTACCTAAAACACATGCAAAAAACCTTGTGATCCTATACCTACAGGATAAATGAAATCGAAAGCAAATAAGGTAAGTACACAAACATCCCAAACTTGAAACAATACAGGTTTTTTCTCCCCGTCATCGAAAAAAAAGTCTATATTTTTTCCATTCCAAACTATGTTACAAAGAAAATAAAACCATGAATTAACTGTGACTGTATTGCCATGTTATTTGAAGCATCCGAGTATGATTTTATACGTTTCAAATTTAAATTTTGCGGACAAATGCACGAAATATAGAGACAAACCACGTTATAGATTCCAAAGGTAGATCAGATGATAGTAAATAGCTAGGGAGCTGGTGGCGTAAGTTTTATATGATTTAATGGTCTAACAGACCATATAACGAAATTGCCACGAGCTCCCTAGCCAAAACTATCAAACACAATATGAAGTTTCTAATAAATTATTACTTTAAACAATAAAATATAACATTTTTTAATTAAGTAAATTGTATAAGAATTATTTGTATGACTTGGTTGCTAAGGCAGGTTTTCAATATTTCATATTTATATTTTTTGACGTGACAACGTCTTAAATTAGGTTGCGGCTGGGAGTCACTTATGAAAAAGTGTAACGCTCGGTAACGTTACGATGAGTCTCTCGTGTTAAGTTTAAGTTTACATGTACAATGTTTTAGTAAACAAAATATATTTCTATAGTTAAAATTTGTGCAATTCTTATTTTCATTCAATTCCTTGTTCCTATTGTGCAATTTAATTATATTCATATCAATAAATATTCTACCGAGAAAAAGACGTTGTCACGTAAAATCTTCGCCCGTAAAACCGACTTTACAGGCAACCATTTTTTTATTCAGAATACCTTTTGAAATAATGTTATAAGGGCAAACTATTAAGTCATTAGCCCTTTAAGCGGATTTCTTTATTTGTTTATCTGAAGTAAATTCATTATTAGTTTTCTATTAAATATGGTTCCACAATGCTATTAAATAGGGGTTAAGTAAAAAAAATAAAGACGACTTTAAATTTTAATATTTTAAAATCAAGAGAAACAGTTTCAAATGTGTATTGATTGGCATAGCAAACAATGGCACACCAAAACTTTGATGTTATTGTGAATTTTAGGTAAAAATCTGCTAAAATACAATTTTACGTGTTTAAGAACTAATATTTCTTAATGGTTGTCTTTTCGTAGCATGTGCAGAACGCAAACAATCAAACTTTGTTAAAAAAATGACAATGTAGAGCTCAAATTTTTACTAAAGATTGAAGAATTGCCATCAAAAAATAATAATAAGATATCGTGTTTAGTATTTTATTAATAAATTTCTTTAAATAAAAGTATAAATGCAAAAGGAATAATCATTGTTGGGTGGTCTAAATTAGTATCGGTTCCCCTAAGTGATATTTTTTTCGTTTTTTTATCTACAGCATGTGGCAGGGTAAAGCTAGTAACATTATATTATTTCATAACTATGTAGTGCATGTATCCATTTCCAACAGATTTGATTACATTAGAGACTTAAGTAAGTTCTAGTTTCAAAGCCTTAATAAACCATGTAAGTAATAAGCTAAAACAACAAATACTACCTTCCTAAGTAATAAAGTCAAAAGTAATAATCTTTAATGATTATCTTTTTAAGTGAGGCAGCATGATTGAAAATGATTAACGAAACGAAGAAAATTGTTTCAACATTCCTCCAGCAGGGAAATAAACTTAGAGGATGGAAGCTCGAACGGCAATAATTTGAAAATGTTTATTGGTGCAAATTTCTTCATTGCGTTGTTAGTACGAGCCCGATTGTGTATCTATTGGCGAGTAATGATTATGGCACTAATTCGATTACTGGCAATTTTGTACGTGGCTTATGCGGTTTTATTATTGTAGGATAAGAAACATGACTTGGTTTTGCTTGTGCGTTTGTGGGTGTGCAGATAAAACTGGTGAGTTAGTAGATAGTAATACTAGTCCTAACGACCCGTTAATAAGGTATATTTATACGCGTGCCCGTATAAGCTTTCTAACTTTGAAAACTGGGTAAGGGTTGGAATTCATAAGGCCGCACGCGTTTGATTAAGAGTTACGTTTGTATTATAGTAGGTTGGGTCTCGGCATTCTTTAGAGTAGCTGACCGCTGATATTCTAACTACAACAATAAAAAATGTGATTGAATCCACATTCAATCACATTTTTTATTGTCCACTCTTATGGTAATGCGCGGATATGTATGTGGGCCTTATGCGTAAGTTAAAGGTATCACATTCGATTACAGCGGCGCGTGGACTATATATTACTATAATTGCTATTCAATTGGAGTAGTTGGAATGGTGTAATAAAACGTTGCGGTTTGTGAACGTATCGCCTTACACATTTTACTTCTGAGGTCCCATATTTTGAGCGTTCGGTCGTGGCTGCCCGTGATGACTTTGGTGGGCTCGCCGAGGAATTTCGCTGCCATCACCTTCCCACTGTGGCCGGTTAATGTGTGCTGCAAAGATTGCGTAAATTTAGATGTAAATAGTTTAACCTTAAGTATTGAAAGTCATAATCATAACAAGAAAAAGAGTGAACTGGGCGGTAGGTAAAGTCTGAAATTTAAATAAAATTGCAAATTGGACAGAACAGTAAATTATAATTATAATGAACAAGTACTAAGTAAGTAAATATCTTTATTACAACACGTTTGAAAAAATCGGAGAGTGGGTAAATATATTATATTTATTAAGGCAATGAATCCGAATGATATAATAAATATTGGCACAATATCTTTTTGCAATCGAGTGACTATTTCAGGAGACAAGGCAGACACAAACTTTACCATTACGATCTTATTTCAAAATTTTAATATTTGATGTATTCGTTTATTAAGTATATTTGTTTTCGAATTAGAGGTTGCTTAATTGAAATGGAAATGGTATGCTTCACATTAAAATAAGGTAATTAATAAATTTTATTGTCGGTGTTGATTATTTTGCTGTTTTTTTTACCAAAATTCAAGAAATAGATTACAGTAAAGTGAATCTTAAGCATTAGAACATATTACAATCTCTATTTTATTGAAGGATATGAGTGGTAAAGTAACAAATTAATCTTCTTTAAATAAATTACAATGTCTAATACATTGTTATAGAGTAATTATTCGCTATAAAACTATTCAAGGATAGTTAGGTAATTATTAAAGATTCTTTTCTTTATAGCAAATTTGTAAAAGGAGGAGGAGCTCAATGGCGCAAGTGGTTAGCGCGTTCGGCTGCGATCGTTGAAGTTAAGCAACTTTCGCAGTGGTCGGTCATTGGATGTGTGACCAAAAATTACTATCTCGAGCTCCTCCGTGCTTCGGAAGCCGTTGGTCCCGGCTGCATCTGTAGTCTTCAGCACCCACCAATCCGCACTGGGCCCGCGTGGTGGGTCATGGCCCAATCTCCCTATTCCATCCATAGGGAAAGCCTGTGCCCTAGCAGTGGGGACATTAATAGGCTGATGATGATGATGATGAAATTTGTAAAAGGTTTTTGTTAGCTTCACATGATACTTAAAAAGCAGATTGAACTAGGATACGATAGATAAAAAGAAAAAGAGATAAAATAGAAACTATAAAAAAGTGAGGTGCTCCACAGGATTTGTAAATAACTTGTATACTTAACTAATAACAAAGCAACCAAACCACGCTTTTTGTATAATATATTTTTTATCTTTTACTTTTTGGTGAATCTGCTATCGAGGAGTGTTTTTAATTTTATTTTAGAATAACGGGTCCGCGAAATTTTGATTAAATTTATTGAACTTGTTATAAAAAAAATCTTATTTGTGCTGCATAAATGTGATGATAATGCGGAAAAAAACAAATGCGGAAAACGTAACACTTCGATATAGAAAAGCCCAAAGCTGTAATATAACTTTTACCTAAAGCTCAGGGAGTAGAGGAGTTAAATAATGTTAGTTAGGTACATAATGTAAAGAGGTAACCAGAGTAAAACTGCGGGATCGAATCAAGGTAATGTAAAGGCCATTAGGCTACTGTTATACGGTGGTTTAGAGTTAGCCATTTACACGCAGGTCGCCGGCGGCTCAAAAGATGATTGTGTTCTCTGACAGAGCATCCCCACTAGAATCAGCATTATTAATTTTTTATTTGAAATCGGAATCGCCACAGTTGGCGGTACGCTGGGAGGGTAAGCTGCGCTTTGATTGGACACATCAGTGTGACGTCACGGTAGGATGACAAATTTCGTGAACCGATGTATCATTTAGTAGATACGCTAGTCGCTACACACGCAACACTGACTGCTTTCAAACAATCTGACATTGTCACGAACACATTGCGTGAGATGAGTCGTTTTTTTGCGTGGTTTATTTGGATTGCTCTAACTAGACGATATAATTAAAGATCGTAATACTACCCAGGCTTAGCTCAAGCGGGTGTTTTTGTATGCGATATCTAGTTGGGGTGCTCTAGTGTTGTTGAATATATTTATCAACCGTGAAATTAAACTAATACAAAAAGTTTACACACACATATTCGATAAATATTTTCAACCATATCGAATAATGTGAATGAATGAATAATATTCATTAAATTCATATTATTTTAACGCGAAAGTAATATTAATTCGTATAGATAAATGTAACCGACTGATAACATCATCGTAATTAATAATTTCAATCACAGGCCGAACTAATAATAGTTATTTATTATACAAGAGTGGAAAGTTCCTTTTTAACCGCGTGCTCGATTTGGATGACCGAGCAAGCGAAGGATTCTAAAGTTGAATCACGAGCGCAGCGAGTGATTCTAAATTAGAATCCTGAGCGTCAGTGAGGGAAACAAACGAGCACAAGGTGAAAAATCTTTCCACTCGAGTGCAATACGTAACTTTTCATCCCACCTCAGCGAGGAAATGACAAAATGAAAAAGAAAACAATTTATAATGACAAAATATTTTTATTTCAATTAAAACACATTAAGATAATCTATAAATTGAAGAAAATAATAAGAAGTAGAAAATAATTAAGAAATATTAAATGTAACGTTGCTACAGTTACTTATGTTAAGTTTAATATTTTTGTTAGGTAATGTTATGTTGGTGTTTGTGAATTGTGCGCTGTTTTGTGGTAAACTACTCGTATCAGTAATTTTAAATAGTTGTGCCGATTCATTGGATTCTATTGGCGTAAATGTTGGCGAGAGAGGGCTATTGTTTCCAATCTTATGGGGGCTCATTTTAGATGTAGAAGGGCGAGACCAAGAATCTGACAGAGGTTCTTTCAGCGTTATGGCCTCCACGATACTATTACAAATTTTTGATTTACTTTGGATTGAATCCTCTATGTATCCCTCTACAACCGAATTAGACTTCCAGCCTCCATGGCGCTTAAGCGATAGAAGATCAGCCCCTGATTCGGCCAAAAGTGTGGCTGAGGTTCTTCTAAAACAGTGACCGGTGTATAACGGGGGTTCTAAAAGTCCGAGAAAAGTTGCTATTTCTCGTGGAATACTGCCAATTTTATTCTGACCCATAGGTTGTCGGATACACTTTCCGTTGCGATATTGTAGAAAAAATCGTTCAATTGGGGTGTTAGAAGGACGTAAAGCTTGATATTTCTGAACAATGTTTACATATTCCTTGCGAATAACGAAGTTGCGGTCTTTTTTTGTCTTGGTATTTAGTACATTAATTAATAGCAATTCATCAGAATTATGAGAATATTTTGATACGTTATTGACATTAAGTAGTGTAAGTTCATTTGTTCGACATGCTCCGGTTATACCAATAATAAGAACAACCTGTAACAAAAGAAGTATTTATAATCGTAAATAAATTAATCAAATTAAAAATATTGTAAGTACTATGTACAATTTTATCAACAACAAAAAATTACACGTATTGACTTACTTTTGCCGCTAAATATACGGAATCAGGTGCTTCATTAATAAACTTTGCAATTTCAGATGCTGTGAAAACCTTCGATTTTTTTGGTTTATAACCAGATGAGGCTCTTTTTAAAAATGCCACTAATTTATGATAGGTGTCGATATGAACGTCTTTCTTCATCTTAATTGTTAATTTTAGCATTGAATACGTACTCCATAGCGTGCTTGCTTTCTTGGTCTCAGATAATTCTATAAAATATGCCAGCAAAACGTTTTCGGAGAAAGTTTTTGCTCCTTTAGCTAGTCGCCACATGTTAAATATATCGTACTGTTTCAAATACTTCTCTCGTGATTGCTGAGGGAGAAGGCTCATTTGCGCATTATTAACTGTTTCAGTTAACTCAGTTGGCGTTAGATAAACTTCATCGTCGCTAATGTCACTCATTTTAGTTGATTTTTTTGTACAGTTTTTAGGTTATGTTAATTATATTAAGCAATAAAACGTGAAAAACTAGAATGGCGCGAAGCACGCAAATAAAACAAAGAAACCAAGAAGGTTCCAAATTTAAATTTTTTCACAATTTAAAAAGTTCTAATCATAAATTTGGCACCATAGAGGTTACATTAAATAGGTTTAATGACGTTTTGAATTTACAATTATATTGAGTACTCATTATATGTGATGTTCTAAATTCAAATCTACTTTGCCGCTCAAGCGAATAAAATAGAATTTTCCAGCCAGATTTCGAAGCGCAAAATTACACTTTCCGAGGTGGTGGGATGAAAAAATATTGATCATAAATCAACTTGTGAAAAATATTTAAATTGTATTTGAATAAAAATATCAACTGATATTTTCAACCATTAAAATTATCTGATATTTTTATTTAACTTTTAACTAATAGTCCAGTCAATGTAGGCTTAACTTTGCCATTTTGATTTGATCACCTGCAACCAACGCGAAAATTTCCGCAAGGATTCGTAGATTAATATACTAAAATTGCAGGGTGCTGCATTGACGGCAAATGGTGCAAAAAAATGCTAAATGGTGCAAAAACGAGGTTTTCGTCAATATCTCGCGACTGGCTGGAAAAATAGAAAAAGTTTTTAGTACAAAGTTGTAGAAAATTTAATTTCCTACAAAAAAGGTATCAACATATTTTCGCGTATCTCCCATAGTTTTTGCACAAAATGCAATTACAGGTGCAAAATAAAAAAAGAAAATATATTGTTAATGGTTTTTTTTCCATTTTTAAACGATCCTACGGGTCAAATTCAACAATCACCACTTACTGAAATATTAAAGGATGAGTTTTCGGTAGTCCACTGAAATGAAAATTGTCTACCGAAATGGTAAAAAATGACCACCGAAATGATACAGCCAAGAACATCGCCTTTGTAGTAGAAGGGTTCCCTATTTTGAATATAAATAAATTTATAATTTTTATTATTTTTAAAGCATGTAACTGCTTGATGTTTAAATCTAAAGAAAATATAACTAGAAAAAATTCCACGCGGACCAGGCAGCAGACGGGACTCGAACCCGCACCCTTCGCAATCCGGGCGAATGCACTGACCAATTATGCTACCGCGGCCCTCACGGACCGCGTCGAAATTCTTTCTAGCTATTCTTAAGCTGCAAGGCAGCGCCATCTCTTCGCATTATAGGTAAACCCACAATGTCAAATGAATACTTTTACAAGTATTAAACATTTGAAAGAAGAAATAGCAATTATAGTTATAATTTTTATTATTTTTAAAGCATGTAACTGCTTGATGTTTAAATCTTGCAGCTTAAGAATAGCTAGAAAGAATTTCGACGCGGTCCGTGAGGGCCGCGGTAGCATAATTGGTCAGTGCATTCGCCCGGATTGCGAAGGATGCGGGTTCGAGTCCCGTCTGCTGCCTGGTCCGCGTGGAATTTTTTCTAGTTGTATTTTCTTTAGATT